GACTGATGACATGTGAGTAGTTTCTGATTTTTGGCTCTTATGAACAAAGCTGCTATAAGCATTCCTGTACAAGTCTGTTGTTGGACATACACACTCATTTCTCTTGGGCAAATACCTGGGAGTGGAACTGCCACATCATAGACTAGATGTGTATTTTACTTTAGTAGAAATTGTCAAAACATCTTCCAAAGTGGTCAAGCCAACCCCTCTCTAGCAATGTACGAGAGTTCCAATTGCTCCATATCTCGATATTGTCAGTCTTTTCATTTTCAGCCATTCTGGTGGATGTGCAGTGGTGTTTCCTTGTGGTTTTAATTTGCATTTCCCTGACTGGGTAAGGTTGTTGAGCACCTTTTCATAGACCTATTGTCCGTTTGTGAAGTGCCTGTTGAGTCTTTTGCCTATTTTAAAATGTGGAATGTTTATCTTTTTCTTATTGATTTGAACTAGTTTTCTTTGTATCTCCTGGATATGAGTCATTTAATAATAATAATAAAAAAGTCTACACACACACGTACCAATGATCACTTCACAAGTTTTTCTTTAAAGTCATTTTAATGCTATTAATGAAATAAAATGTATTTTGCTTTGTTTTAGAAAAGGACCCTGGATCATATGATACATGGAACATTCCCCTAATGTGTACACAGTGGGACTGGGTCCAGCGACCCAACTCATTCCACAAGCTCCAGCAGAGCATTTGCTGTACACTGGGCTCCAGCACAGACTTCAGCTCCGTTTGGTTGAGGTGTCAGCAGGGGTGGGAGGCAGCAGTGAGGGCTCACTTGCGTCTTCTTCCTCCAAGATGGGCTGATGGTGAATCTGCATTGGCCTCCATGGGCCAGGGTAGTGGGAACCCAAGATCAAGAGGACCAGGGCGGAAACAACCTCATCAGGTTGGTTTCCAGAGCAGGCCACTGACAACTAAGCTGGATGCTCACTGTTTACTGTCTTCCACATGGCAGGTTCTGGAACTCAGAGATGGTTAGGACACCAGCCTCATCCTGAGGGAACTCACAGTCAAGAAGAAGAGTTAGATAAGTGAACAGAGAATCATGGTAAGGAGGGCTAAGTGCATGAACAGAGTTCGGTCAGGATGCAATAGGAGTAAGGCTCCCAGCTCCTGATGGGTCCCAGAGACATCTTCACAGTGGATCTGATGTTATTTGAGCAGTACCTTGAAAGATGAGTAGGAGTCACCAGGCAGAAGGTGACAAGAAGGACATTCTAAGGCAGGGGGCTCAGAGCAGGGCATCCCAGTGAATGGAAATCTTGTGGCTGGAGTGCAGGATGTGTTGGTGGGCAGGGCAGGAGAGTTAGGGTAGATCCAGGGATGGCCCAATATACAAGAACAGAGCCTTTCCTTCCTCAGCTTCTGGGGAGTCCAGTGCCTGGAACCATGTTTCCTGTGGATAATCTGTGGGTTACAGCTTTCCAGGTCATCTTGCCAAGAAATGCACAGGAAATGGTTCTTTCTAGAATGGCCCTTCTGCTTGGAGGAATGCCTCCCCAGCATGCTGCCTGGCATAGTAGGCACTTAGCATGTGATGAGTCCTTTCCCGCCCCTTACCTGAGAAAGTTTCTTTATAAAGGAGCAACCTTTGGTTCTGCATTGTTTTTCTTCTGGAGTTGGGATCTGGTGGACAGAGATGAAGGAAGATGGTCCCCCTCATGCCCAGACTTCTGGGCCTGGTGGGAAGAAGTAGGGCAAGCACTCCTGGGACAAGGGTGCCATGACTAGGGCAGACCCTGTGTTGATACGGTCCAGGGCCTGGGTGGGCGAGAGCCAAGAGATGGGTGGGAGGGGTTGCTTGAAGGGCATACCTGAAGGACTGGGCCTGCCAGAGGGAGCTTCTGGCCTTGGTGATCTCCCGGGCCAGTATCTTCAAATCATCTCCTTCAAATAGTGGCAGGACAGGATCCTTGAAAAGGGGAAATGAGTGTGAAGCTGAATCCATTGAATGACTGGATAAACAGCTCTGGTGGCACAGTGCCTAAGGCATTTGACTGCTAATCAGAAGGTCGGTGGTTCAAACCCACCAGCCGCTCCATGGAAAGAAGACAACTGGATGGGACTTGAAAAGCCAAAATCTCAGGAGAAGAATCTTAGAGCTACTTAAATGTAGCCTTCCACTCTGTGCAGGAAACTTGTGGGCCTCAGCTTGCATGCCTCTAGGGATGGGAAGCTCACCACTTCCCAAGGTGGTTGGTATCCATTCTGCAACCACCTTGAAATAAAATGAAATAAAATTTGAAATAAAATGACTGAGAATCAGTGCAGGCAGTGGGTGGTGGCAAACCCAGCTGGTCTCTGAATGTCA